TACTGGTCGACGACGGCGAGCAGAGTCATGGACTCAAACCCCGGCCATTATGTTGCCGTTATGGTCACTGCGAACGCTAAGTCGACGACAGAGAGGAAACCAGCGAGATATCTGAAATTACTCCGGCCCCATGATGCGTTGGTGATCGGGCAAGTTTATAGGCTCGTAAGCTTTGAAGGTCCGGAGTGTTATGCGGTTGTTTACGAATTTACCCCTGATTGTTTGATGTACTTATTGCCATTTCTTGTGGATGGTTAGATGTGTTGAGAGAGTTTGGTTCGAAGAGGAGAGTGAGGCTGACCCGGTTGCTTGCTAAGCCGAAGGAGGCGAGGGAAGGAGAGGGTGGCGGTGAGAGAGCTAAGTCTGAGGATTCGGTCGAAGCGGTAATTATTAATTGTTGTGAAGGGTATATTGGGTATAGAATAAGTTAAAGGGGAAATGACACAATAAGATTGGTTTTGTTCTAATTGTGTAAAAATGTTTTATTGTTGTTTATTTTTTTTAATTATTATTAGATTTTGTAGGCAGAGGGTCAGCAAGAAGGAGAGGCATTGGAGAGCACAACGGGGAGTGGCGTCAAGGGAAGGAGCAACGGAGTGTTGAGGCAAGGGCAGTGGAGGCCAACTTTACAAACCATCGCAGAGATTGGGAATTGATTGGTTAATAAATAGTTCTTTTTAATTTAATGTTATAGATATAGTTACGGTTGATTAAAGTTAGATTTGTTGCATGTGCAAATGTGTTCCACTAATATTTTCGTCGTGCTATAGAGGACATATATGTTAAAATTTCTTCTCTCTTTTAAAGAAATATTTTGCTCTCCTTCTTTTGAAGGTGAATATATATTATGTCATTGAAAGTATATATTATGTCATTGAAAGTATAGTGGTAAATTTAAAATATCGAGATCAGAATCTTAAGTCGCCCTAACTTAATTTATAACCTCCAAAGAATTCTCTCTTGTCATAGATTTAATATTTTCTTCATTTTCTTTTCTGTAAACGTTGTACAAGTACAAGTTGTTCAAGACATTTCTCAGTAATAATGGCATAATTAGTTATATTAATTTGAACTTGGATTGAAAATAGAGTTCTCTTATGATGAAATTTTTTATTTGTATCAGGTAAGAGAGGATTCAAAATAAATTTAATTTTCTATAATATTTACAATATATTTCATGGTGTTTGGGAATTATAAAATTAAAAACTGGATTACATGTGTGTGTGAGTATCATAATTGTGAATTACATAAGTTCTGATTGGTTGTCCTCCATTAGATAATGGAAACCCAATTTAAATGGGAAAAAACTCTTTTTTTCACCTCTTTTCAATAAGATATCTCAGAATCATTTTTTTATTGGAAAATAAGGGGTAGACATGGGCTAGTTTCGATCTACCGGCCAAACCAGAGCAATCGGCCTTAGGCCAAGACCCGATCTAGCCCATAGTTGATTAGACCCGTGAATAAAATAGTAGACCTGACTTATGACCGACATTGACCCAACTTAGCCCAAATCTATTTTTTCCCGTCAGAGTTGAATTTATATTTTGCAAGATAGCCCAACATAACTCAAAATAAATTTACTTTTGAGGTTCCCTCCTTATTATAGGCAGGGCCGGCCCCGAGGTTTGGGTTGCCCTAGCCCCAGCCCCGGCCCTGGGTCGGCCGGGTTGCCCCATGACAACCTCCCCTCCACGACGACCTCCCCTCCTTTGGCGAATGTCGTGTGGTTCTGAAGAGTGTTGGGGAGGAAGCAGGATCCGCCGCCCTGAATCTACTTGCTGTCGACTAGGACCGTGCTGCACACGTAGTCGATGTTCGATTGGAGGGAGGCCTCGGTTACATCGGGCTTTGGTACGCACCACTTGGTGCCGGAGCCTGAGGAGGGCGCCGGCGTTGGACTCACAGCCTGCACCAATATTGGAAAAAAGAAGAAAAGACATGAGTTTACTTGCAACGATAATTAGTGAGGTATTTGTTCATCTTAAACTTTTCATATTAGACCGTTAACTCAAACTTTAACCTCCTAAAGAAAGAGAGGATTGAGATTTACTTTAAATTTTTTTCCACATTACCCCACCAACAAATACCTCACTCCCTATTTGTGTTCAAAAAATAAAAGCGCTCTCTCGAATCTAGGGGGGCCAGCTTACTTGTCGTAGTAGCGCAGCACCACAAAGTGCATAATAAAAAAGCAACGATAAAAAACTCTTTGTCAAGAAAAAGCTAGCCAACGCACGTGCCTCGTAAATGGCCCATGTCAGGGGTGCATTATCGTAATATACGTACTATTAGAAAGCCAGTTCGTTTAAATTTAAGTTCGTTACTACACAAGAAATCGTACAGCCGCGTAAACTATATACATAAATCTATTAAGTTTCACAAATACCGCCCACGACCCCCGCCATAATTACAATTCTACCAACCGCACTATCCTCGTAGAATGTGCCCCGAAAAAGGCAGAAAGATTCGACTCGGTGGCAAGCTCAAAAATAACCCCAAAACCCAAGCCCAAAAGAGTCATAGGCAACAAGGGGATGGCGTCGTTGGGGGTAGTGAGTCGTATTCACCATCTGAAAAATGCTTGCTGAAGTAGAAGGCGGTAGCGGCGATCAGGAAGAGGACGAAGACGACGACCAGGAAGACGACGACCTCCCCCTGGGTTGCCCCCCGGCCCTGGGTTGCCCCAGCCCCGGGGCTTGGTGGACTTACCCCAGGGCCGGCCCTGATTATAGGCTCCTCGATCTCACCATCTCACAAAAAATTCTGATGTGAAACTAATTAGGCGAATGTAACTCAAAAACTTAAACCCACTGGCTATAATCTAGATTAAAGTCTGGGATGGAAACTCTAGAGATTAAAAAAAAAATTATTTAGTAAGTATTATTTTTACATCTATCAATGCTTTTAAAATAAGTGAAGTGCTATATTTAGTAAGAATTATTTTTACATTACGTTGTAAATTTATTTATAGATTTTAGATGGATTCTATCATCTCCTTCATGGTTAAACTATAATTTTAAAATATCTATTAGCATTATACACTATTTAATCGTTTTTATCCGATAGAAGTCAGGTTAACGAGAGAACAAATATGTTCGTTGGAGGAGGAGCAATATGCGCTAGATTAGCAATAACTAGAGGAGTTCAGGTTTTGGTTCAAGGAGAAAAATATAAAGAACAAATTAGAAAACTTCAATTTTGTATTTGAATATGCGTAAAACTACAACTGACAATAAATCCAACGTGACAACACTTTTCATCACTTTACCTACACACACAAAAAAAGAAGAAAAAAAGCACACACCCAAACAACCCCTAAAAAGTGGGGAGTTTTTGAACAGAGGGAAAAAGAGGGCCAACCCACAACTCGTACTACGCCGAGCCCAGCGGGATTAGCTTCACATCCGGAGGCATAGTCCTGTCTGGATCTGAGTCTGCACCGGCCCGTCCAGAAACCGACCCATGCCCACCAGACCTTCGACTACTGGATCGATTCACAGGTGAGGCCGGATCCGGCCCATGCCGACCCCTTGCACCAAACCTCCAATTACTGGGTGGGCTGTACAGCATGGGGAACCGTATGAGCCCACTTGTGTTCCCCAACATCGTCCCTTCCCAAAAAAAAAAAAAAAAAAAGCTCCCTCCCCCGCACAATTTCCCTCCCAAATTTCGTCTTCAACAATCAAACTAAACGCCATGGCGATCTCACCTCGCTACCTCCTCCTCCTCTTCTTGATATCAACCTCTCCTTCTCTCATCTCCGCTTCCAACCTCTCAGGTAATTCCTAAAACCTACTTCAAAAACCCTAGTTTTCCTCTCATCCATTCTTTCCCTCTCTTTTTTCCCAGTAATTTCTCATCCTTCAAAGCTTCAGCTCCCCCCCGGGGACAGGATCGAGGGATCTCCGGGTTCTCGCCCGGGCTCTATCGTCACCTGCAGCAGAGTCCACATCCACGGCCTCTCTAGGCTTCGCGATATCGACAAGTACGCTCACTCCCTCAGAATTAGGGTTTCCTTCGCCCAGGGAGATCCGAGTTCTCGTGCCCAGACCGTCGAGCTCTGTTTACATCGGTGGTCGCCTAAAGCCCTTGTCTGAGTTAGTTGGGAAAAAGTTTGAACTTTTCTTTCTAAAACTCTCCCCTTTTTGTTGAAAATGCAGAAACGAGAGTATTGGGGTTGGGATGTGCCCTGAGACTCAATGGCAGAAGCTGGCTAAGGGCTCTTGGGTTCAAGCAGTTCCGCCTTTTGGGAACAGGATTATTGACATCAGAATGCTGCCGGATTCGTCGAGGTCCATTGAGGTTTCTACTGAATTAGGTAATTTATTCTCTCTGTGATGAAAATTTTGAGTGGTGTAGTGAGCGCTTCTTGCTGTCGGATCAATTTTCGTTTCAGAGTTCCTGCTCCATCGACTCCTTTTCTTGGTGATCGGGTTCATTATGATGCTATTGGCCCGCGTTCTTAGCGAGTCGGTCGTGTTCTATTATGGCAGCTTTATGACGGTCGGAGTCATCATTGTGATATTGATAGTTCTTTTTCAGGTAAATGCTGTACTTTTGGAGCTGGCTGCCAGTGATTGCTTATCTCTTAATTTTGTGAAGCTTTATATGTTTTTAATATCTGGGTGCTCTATTGGTTATTTGGTTTGATCTCTCCTTCGTGAAACTCAAATAAGACATAAAACTCGATTCATGTTGGTGTTTATTTAACCTAGTAGCTAATAACTCCAAAGAGAAAGTGGCTATGACTTTGAAACAATGACCAAAACGCACAAATCCTGTCAAACTTTATTCCAACTAGCACAGACACATGGACAAGACACAAAAAAACCCCCACATGATGAGTTCCAACTAATTACAGGCAAATAGAAGTCCTGTGTCGAACAATGTCTGGGTCTGACAAATGTCTTTGACATGATGCATTTTCATACTTTAAGTGTATGCAGTACCGAGCTACCAATAATGTTACTTCCATTCCAGTTCTATGTTGAATCAATTGAAGTATATTAACTTCATCATTGTATCTACTTTTTAGATGAATGAATTCATTTACAGTTTTGACTATTGAGAATTCATATGAACTTTTGACATGCTTCACAAGTGTAGTATCAGTTCAAAATTTAACATAACTAAGATTGTAACATCAGAGACTAGAAGTCCTTAGAAACCTAGACAGAAACAAAACAGAAGGATTTGTACCTAAAGTCAAGGTCAAAAGCATATGCCATGTGTATAAGACTATAAGTTTGCATAATTTTAAGAATATGACTTTTAAACTTGTCTGATGGTTCAGTCAGATTTAAATTTATATCATAGGATTGTGGTAACTTGTAGAGGTTGTCTCACCACATGCTATGGGGAAATTCATCTATCCATTCAATCATTTTATGTTTCTGAACCTTGATTAAAACAAAGGATGGCAATTATGACAAGAAAATAGTGAGAGTTACAGAGATGTTATACTCATCCTTCCGTTTTCCTTTTCTAATTTATACAGAAGGCTAGCATCTTCTGTTAGGGCCTTATAAAACTTGTGAAACATTTCATCACATGACTAACGTTCAAACATAAATATTTCAAATAATGTTTCAAATGAAGTCTTCCTTGAGAAAAGAGGATAAAGCCTACATTGGAACTGAATAATTTCTGATGTGATTAATCTCCATTCTCAATTAATGAAAATATTGATTTTGATTCATTTAAAAGAATATATGTGCTCTCATCTGAGATGGTGAATCAGAGTAGCATGCAACGTGACCTGTAAATTTGTCCAATACTCCATATGCATCTTATGTTTTGGTTTTAAACTTCCATACTACAAGATGGCATGATTATTATTTAAATTAATATAAGACACCTGATTTTTTTATCAAATAACAAACAACATTAACATTGTGCTAATATGTGCTTGCCATCCGGAACGCAGAGTTTTAGGTTTATCTTCTTTTACATTCTGCACCAATGACTAGCATGCTTTTTATGCCGATTACCTTTATGACCTTTTTTCTTTGTGCTTGATATATACTTTTCGTTCTAGTACATCAATCTCTGATTATCTATTTATTGGAACTGCTATGGTTCATTTGCAGGGCATGAAACTTTTACCCACGGGTCGAAAAAGTTCCCTTGCAATAGTTTTATACTCCTCAATTGTAAGCATCTCGTTTAGTTTTCTAGCGCTAATAAGTATAGAGTTTTGAAATCATAGGAATTGCAACATATATATTGTAACTGTAACATATATACCTTTTATGATAGGTGGGTGTCGCGACGTTTGTTCTACATTACTTGTCTGGACTGTTAAGATCAATACTTTTAGAGATAGGAATCAGCGAAGATATGCATAATCCTGTATGTAAGTTTCTCTGCTTATTCTTGCTATATTTTATGAAATAACAATATGTTCTCTTTTTTCCTGGTGCAATTAGACTCATTTGTAGTACCTTTGAATATTTGAAGATTCATTGGAGATCATTATTTGTGCTTCATGTTTGGGTCCCCATCATTAATTTCTATATAACAAATAAATATTTTTATCGGCCATTTAGTAGGAAAATCCATTGGTTTATGATATATTTGAGGTTGATTTTTGTTGCTTCCCATTGAGATGTACGGGGTATGTAGTATACATCAAGCTATTCTGTTTTACGCGTGCAGTGGATTTGCTATTCTTTTATGCGTGCAGTGGATTCACAAAATTGTGACACGTGATGTTAAACTATCTTTAAACTCAGATCATGAGTAAAGTTTTAGACAAGGGCATGTTCATGTTATTTATACGAAATTGATTAGGATAACATAGTGTTTTAAACTATTTTGAGTTATCTTTATTTACATTAGGATGTCATATATCTTTTATTTGGATTGTGATGTTGTTTAGGATATTGTTCTTATATTCCTTAGGATTTTTCTTGGGTTAGGAATTTGAGTTTTAGTTGAACTTTATCCACAGATATGCTTATCTTGTATTTAAAATTAAGTTGCTAAATGAAAGATTGAATATGGATATTGATATTGTTTGAGAGTTACTGATTGTTTCTCTCGCTAAACTAAATTTTATCTTGTTGAGTTTACACTGCCTTATCTGGTACCAGAATGCAAGTCAATATATTCCAGAATCTTGAAATTACCCAAGATCAGACAACCACGCTTCGCCTCTATTGTGACCAGTCCGGTACTCTAATTCTTCTTTCACTAACAGCTCATTCCTTCATCTAGCTCGCCATCAGATCTGGTCAAATCTGATCCCATTGTATTCCCAGTCATCAATATCAACCATGCAAGCAACTTCAGCCCTCCTTTCAAGGGTACTTGTGCAACATATCTTCAATCAAGACCCCCCAATCTGCATGAACTGAAGCTAACCTCATGTCTTCATGCGCAACAAATTTGATCTAGGATCCTACAATTAATGTGGACAACACTGTGAGATGTTAGATTATAAATTAGTAAAGATTGTTAATAAACTCTATATAAACCTTTTAATAAAAACAAATGGAGTCTTGAACATTTTGAAATAGATGTCCAAATAGATGTTTATGCATTAGAGTGGCTTGTCTAATTAATGGATCAGATCTTCCATACCACAAAGTTGAAATAAAGGAGTTCCATGTTAGAGAATCGTCTATACAAAGTTCAAGAAGATAATTAATTCTCTCTAAGTATTGTCCAAAAAGCAACAAAAACGAAGTTAAGAGTTCTTTTTGGAAAATGAAAACAGTGGAGTTGTAAATCACTTATTAAGGCTCGTGAGTGCTTGTGAGAGCACATGTTAACTAATTTATCAATTCAATGTGAAGATCCAGTTATTGTATACTGAATGGAAGAATGCACTTTGGTATCCATTAAGGGTTAAAAGATACTGTCCTCGAATCAAATGTATATGCCAGATAAGAGTAATCAAACAGACATAAGAAAATGAAGTTATTCTTGACAGTGAGTTTAATATTATCTCAAGGATATTTATACTGCTATATTAAAAACCAAGTGAGGGAATGAAAAAATTTGAAGGATTGGAGGTCATGTCTTCCTTCCTGTTGTGATTGAAAGGATAAATTTGTAATTGTACAATGGATATTTTTTTCTCTTTCATCAAGAACATCATACATCATTCAATGACATGAAAATAAGATTAGAGCCCACATGTCCTTTATATTCTAGTCCATAAAAGGCACAAGGAAAAAGATATAGTTTTTTTATAAAAAAAAGTAAATATATGAAAATAAAAATGCAAAGCTTTTACACATATACCTATACTTGTATTAATAATACATAACAAATAGTGAGAATGAGAAAATTAGTGGAAGACTTCAAAAAGCCTAAGGTGGAAAAGGTAATTCTCTCTTAGCAAATCATCCGACCCTCACTCACTTTTGATATCTGCTGTGAAATTCACTTTCACTACAAAAGGTGAAAGTTGTTTTTCATATTTTGAAGAATTTGCAAAAGCAATCTGTTTCCATGTCGCGTGCATCTGCATGTGTCAAAATTCTAGATATATTAAAGACAGTTACTTACCAAGATGACTGATGGTGAATATATTCAGATGAACGCAAATGTGGTTTTTATCTATTTAATTTAGGCATATAATAGGATCCCTGAGGAGACAATACTTGTTTTCTGGATTTGGTAGTGGTGTTGATGCAGAGTTTAGAGCCGGGTGGGC